TTTTAATATTTTAAAAATAAATTATTAAAAAAATATATTGTACTACAATATAAATTATATATAAAAAATATATATAATTTATGCATTTAAAAATATTTATTTATATAAAATTTAAATATAATTTATAAATTTAAACATAATATATATATATATGTATACTTTATTATATTTTTTAGTTACATATAATAAATATTTAACTTATGCGTTGTACATGCTAAAATACTAATAACTATAATTTATAATAAATTATAGTCTTAAATATATTTTTAACCAATCAAATTTAAGATAAATTTATTTTTAATCTCTCAAATTTAATTGGTCTTTTTAGTCTTATAATTGTCAAAAATATTATTTTAATCTTTATACTCAATTTCTTTCAGACAACTTGTCAAATATGTTTACATAAAATATACCTATTAGTGTTATTGTTAGTGAAAAATATCTCATTAAACCTAATTGATATTGTATTTTTTTTTTTTTTGGTAATGGAGGGGGCTAAAAGCCCAGAAACACAAACTCAACTAAGAACCGCATTATCTGCGACTAACAAGGAAAGTATAAAGTTAGGAGGGGAATGAAAGATTTTCATATTCTCCTCTAACCTTGATCTAAGTCTAGCTAACTTATCAACCACTAGGTTGGCTTCTCTAGCTATATGGGAAAAAGAGAAAAAGGAAAAATGTAGAGTTAAGTCATTAATTGACTTGACGAGATCATAGCATGGATGCCCTCTATTGCATCCTTCTTCAATCAATTTGACTGCCTCCTTAGAATCTGATTCAATAGAAATTTGCCCTCCTAGATGATGATTTTGAATAAGACGAAGCCCTAACAATAGAGCCCAAAGCTCGGACTGAATGATCGAGCAGCGTCCAAGACTTTTTGAAAACGCAATGATAAATCTACCTTCAGAGTCTCTGACAACACCACCACATGAGCCATATCCATCTTTAGTGACTGCGCCATCCCCATTAAGCTTGATGAACCTTTCTGGAGGGCGTTTCCAATGGTCAGAACTAAACAGAGGGGTCCGCATACAGGCCGCCCCTGTTAAGGTAGCTGCAACAAATGAATTAACTCTCGCTCTTATCTCCCCCACCACCTGATCTACTGATAGAATGGAGTTTTGGAAAATTAATTTATTTCGGCGATACCAAATTGAGTCAAGAGTAAAGGCAAATGTGATGGACCAATTTGGAGTTACTTGACTCTTCCTTGTCAAGTTTGAAATTATCCAACTCTGAAATTCTCCATTTATTGACCTGCTAACTGCCGCTCCACCTGGAATTTTACTCCAAACTTCCTTTGCAAACTTACAATCTCGTAACACGTGGATAATATCTTCTTCTCCTTGCCTGCAAATGGAACAGGTAGAGTCTAGTCCAAGACCTCGTTCAAAGCGAGTCAGGTTGGTCATGAGGCTATCGTGTAATACTCGCCAAAGGAACAAGTGAATCCTCTCAGGGCCTTTCCACTTCCAAACTACTATGAAAAATGCCGATTGAGAATTCTCACGGGGAAGGGAAACAACATCAAATGCTGATTTAGTAGTGAAAATCCCATCAGGAGTAGGGCCCCAAATTATTTAATCAGAACCATTATCAACAATTGGAGGGTGAAGACACTGAATTATCTCAAGCGTTTCAGTAGGCATCCAAGCTTGTAACCTTTCAATATTCCATTCTCTCGTATCGGTTATGTAGTCGCGCACTGTCTTAAAGAGTTCCACGGGAGGAATGAATGTTAAGGCCTTCTGGATGATAGTCGTCTGCGTTGGTAACCATACATCATACCAGAATCTTATAGATTGTCCATTTTTCACCCTCCATTGTATGTGAGGATCTACTAGGCTCCAAGCAGCACAAATACCTTGCCAAAAATTTGACATTTTGCTTTTTTTTTCAACGCGTGGTATGATTTTGTCGAGATAGTTATATTTTGATCTAACAACTTGGACCCAGAGTTTATGCGGTTCTGTTGTTAGACTCCAACAATTCTTCATCATATAAGTTGTGTTTATATCGCGCATGGATCGTAAACCCAGTCCCCCATTCTCTTTAGGTTGACACACCGTAGTCCAGCCAATTGCATGATAACGTCTCTGATTATTAGTTTCTCCCCATAGAATTATTGGACTAAAAAAATAGTTTTAAATTTGAGAGATTAAAAAAAATGTCATCTTAAATTTAAGACTAAATATATGTTATAAATCATATTTAAAATTTGTAAAAAATATATTTTTAAATATATAAATTATATATTTTTCAATAGCAATGTAACATTATACGTAAGTAAGTGGTGTGGTTGTGAAGGTCTCTAATAAGATTTTCAATTAACCTTGAGGATAGGCGGTATATAAGGTTTTTCATTTAGAATTGAATTTCATAAGTTAGTTTTAAAGAATTTTACAAAGATAGTCTAAGGAGAGGAGCTATAGTTTTATGAGTCTTTCCTTCTCTCTAAACCTCATTCTCTTAATCAACAATTACTTTCCCTGATGTTTCTTATTTCTTCTTGTGTGTCTTTGTTTAGGTTCAGAAACTTGAATTTATCATGGTATCATGCGGAGTTCTTTGGAAAGCTCAGTTCCCTTCTTTTCTCCTCCTCGTCATCTTGGTGTGATTGTTGAGGTACGAGAAGCTAAGGCTGTTTTGTTTGTAACTTGTGAGTTATGCATGAATCAAATAAAGAATGAACGTAAGTATGTTGGTGAATTTCATGTGTTTTATGTTGAAATGTTGAACTTGAGTGTGTTGGGTTCATGAAGGTGAAAATTGGGTGATTTACTTGATTGATGGATGCTTGTTGTTTTTGATGTTAATACTGAATTGAAGGTATTGTAAATGTATGATATAATTCTTTACATGCTTGGAAATTTTTTGAGTTTTAGGTCTTTAGGGAAATTTTTGTTATCTACAAATACATATGTTTGGTATGATGTCAGATGCACCTTCATGACATCAAGCACAATTCCAACCAGAGGTTTTTGTCTCAATCACACCGAGCACAAGACCGATGGCATTAGGCATGAGAAGAGAGTCTCGTCTTGGCTTAGGATGGCATCAAGCGTGATTTGAAAGGCGTCGCCTTGAAAAGTCTTTGACTTTGTGACGCTGGTCTCCAAATTGGGTGGAACCAAGCATGATCAAGGTAGAGATTCTTTGCCTATACAACAATGAGCAACAATGAGGTGACATTAGGCGTGAGCCGAGTAGAGGCTCTTTGCTTGATATAGGGTTGAATGTGAATGTTGTCATGATAGGCATGAGGTTCCAAGGGTTCCTTATCTTAGTCAGATTGGGTGCGAGTTTAGTGGTGTTGGATGTGGACGAGATGACTAGCTTCTTGTCTTAATGGCACCGAGCACAAGGTGAGTTGAGTTAAGCATGAATTATGTTGATAATACATGTTGTTTGAGGGGTGTTTTGGTGAACATAAATAAAATGCTTGTGTCTATTGCATGTTGTATGATGATGATAATAAGTATTGGTATGCTATATTTGTGTAGTTGAAATGGTGATGAATGTTGATAT